CCAAAGGCTTGAAAGGTAGCTGTAGAGTTGACTAGTACGGTTAGAAGTACTGCTCTTAATAACTGTGTAATGTTTCATTAAGCACTCATTCACTCAGATCGTTCATTTTTCCACTTGAAAAATGGCAAAATTCTCACCAGTCATTGCATTTTATGATATATAATCTGTTAGGATCAAACACATTTTTCATGCATAATATTGGCTTTCTAAATATTAAAAAAATATGGAGCATGGTAATAAAAATTTGTTCAATGATTTCTTTTTTAAAGAAGGGTATGAGGCTTTTGTCGACGTCATGCATATGCTTAATTGCACTTTCTGCTATGATAGCTTTCTTCCCACTTACTCAGCATAATGTAAAGCAATGGGACAGCATTATGTTAACTTCCAAAGCCAAATTCCTCTATCATTAGTAGTTTTCAAAAATGATAGTATTAGAAATACTGTTTTAATATGCATTTTATTCATGATAGAAAACATAATTTGGTGACATCATTGGAGATGATGACCTATAAGGAGTCAAATTCTCTTTTGAACTATAAAAAAAATAACTTGTACCCTCACCTACTTTCAAATGCATGCAATAAGTATAGCAAGGATTACCCTGGCTGGTTTGGCTCAGTGGATAGAGGGTCGGCCCTTGGACTGAAGCATCCTGGGTTTGATTCTGGTCAAGGAAATATACCTTGGTTGCAGGCCAACCAGGTTTTGAGACCATAAGTATGTTGGATGCCTTGGCCCTTCCCTGGTCACACACATGTGGAAGGCAACTAATCAATGTGTCTCTTCACATCAATGTTTCTCTCTGTGTCTCTCCCCCTCCCTTCCACTCTCTCATATAATCGATGGAAAAATATCCTCAGATGAGAATTAACATAAATACATAAATACATACATACATACATACATACATAAATAATACATAAATAATAAGACAGCAAGGATTAAGAAAGGATAAAATATTCTTGGATAACTACCAGAGAAGGCTCAAGGCCTAGGTGAAGTTGGCTCTATAGGTTTGTTAACCTCATTGCCAGACAATTAACATTAATTCTCCCAGGTACACTGAAATCTAGAAGCCCCAAGGATTTTACTTATCAAAAGGAAATAGTGTAGTTTGGGGTTCAGAGAGCAGTCTCTGGAGACCAGTTACCAGCCCACCAATTATTAGCTGTGTGACCTCAGTTTTCTCACCTGCAAGATCAGGATAGTAATATTTCCTGCCTCATGGGGCTGTGGTGTAGATTAAATGAGTCAATGCATATAAAATGGATAGCACAGTGCCAAGATGGGTGAACAAAGAATATTAGCTATTCTTTATATTCTGAATAAAGTCCATAGAGAACATATAGACCTCTAAAGAGTTCAGAACTGCCTTCGAATTTGGCAGTATAAAATAGACAAGGTAATTTAAACTCAAAGCTGACAATGTATTGACCAAAAGGCTACCTTTGTTTAATAAATCTATGCACCAAAGTTCAGAAGAGTTTATCCTACCTGGCCTTTCAATTGATTAGAGTGCATTTATTTAAGGTATTTCCCTTTTGATCAATAATTGTATAACATGATGGTATATTATGTGTGAACCTTAATTTCTTGAAGCTTAGGTAGATTACAGATTCAAGACAGGTTTGTCAACTTGTTATTCCTTCTAAATTACCTTTAACTGGCTACTTAATTATATTCATTTTGTATTTTCTTGAAATCATTAAAAAGATTCACTCAGTCTGATCCAAGCAACCATATGTCCATAGTATGAGCAAAGCACACACACAGCTGATGTTTAAGCTAATGAAAAGAAAAATGCATTACATGTCAGCTTTGAATAGTTCCTTTATGCTATTAGAGTGAAAAAGTAGTAGTTTCCAGCTGTACTTCAGAAATTAAACACTTGCTTCTGAAAGATTTTATTTTAATTGGAGCCAATAGTAGTTTATTAGTAAAAAGCCCCAAGAGGAATTTAAATGAAGTCATGTTGCAATACTGAAAAGGCTATTTTCCTTAAAATACCCTAAATCTTTCTCACATTATCTCACATGACAGTGAAACTAGACATTTACATGATCTTATGTTTGTCTTTCTTTTCTCTTTTTTTTTCCCTTCAAGATCTACATAGGAAGATGATGGAAAAGTTCCATTATTGTAGAGATATAGTAACAGGTTGAAGATGTTGATAGAGTTAAATTATTGTCTGGCACACTTGTTTAGCAGGTGAGAAAAACTCCTTAGTAGGGAAGATGATGAATGACATTTTGTTAACAATAGGACATCATAGGTTTTGAGACCATAAATATGTTGAATGTTCTTATAAGCCCACATAAATATATTTTTGGAGTTTCCCAAGTGTGAACAAAACCTAAAACACATTGAAATGCATACCAAACATGATGCATTGTACCTACATTTTTGTGGCTTTTATATATTATACCAGAGGCCCGGTGCATGAAATTCGTGCACTCAGGAGGGTCCCTCAGCCCAGCTTGTACCCTCTCACAGTTCAGGAGCCCTCGGGGGATGTCCATCTACTGGCTGAGGCCCACGGGCCTAAGGTAGCAGTCAGACATCCTTAACGCTGCTATGGAGGCAGGAGAGGCTCCTGCCGTCGCCGCTGTGCTCACCAGCCTGTGGGAGTGCACTGAGCACCAGGGGGCAGCTCCTGCGCTGAGCATCTCCCCCCTGGTGGTCAGTGCACATTATAGTGGTCATTTCACCACTCGGTCAGTTTGCCTTTGATTATATAGGATTATATTCATTTATTCATTTATTCATGTATTCATTAAATTACTCCATACAATTACTTATCTACTATATGCCAAGATAGGCACTGGGATACAAAAAGGAAAAAGACCACTGAGAAAATTTTAAACAGTGTTGTGACATGACTCATTCATAAAATAATCAAGCATCTATTTGTGGCAGATACTGTTGTGCTAATGACAAGTAGGTTTTGTCAATAAGGTTATATTTAAAATGAGTCTAATGGATGAGAACTTAGGCAGGAGGGCTATGGTGAGAACTGAAGCAGAACATAATAGTGGCTAGAGGCGGTTGGCTAGAATTGGCAATGGATTTAAATATATTTATATGGTAGAGGGTATTGCACTTAGTGAACTTTGGAAATAGAGAGGGTGAAGATGAATGGGAGGTCAAAGAAGACATCTTGGTTTTTTTCCAGAGATGACTTGACACCAAGATAGAAAATAGTAGTCCTAGCGGGTTTGCTCAGTGGATAGAGTGTTGGCCTGCAGACTAAAGGGTCCCTAGTTTGATTCCAGTCAAGGGCACATGCCAGAGTTACTGGCTTTATCCCCAGGAGGGGGTGTAGGAGGCAGCCAATTGATGATTCTCTCTCATCATTGATGTTTCTGTCTCTCTTTCCCTCTCCCTTCCTCTCTGAAATAATAATAATATTAATAATAATAATAAGAGATAGAAAATAGTAGAAAAATAGCGTGTGTGTTTTTTTTCAGGTAAAAAATGTGTTTAGGTAAAAAGAACTGGGGGTGTTATGGAAAATTCAGATAGAATTTTTCAATGGACAGTTGGATATACAATCCTGAAATTCAGAAAAAATGATCAAGAATAGAGATATAGTTTGAGAATCACATTCACATGAATGGGAATTGTGGTGTGAGTGAGCTTCCTCCTCAGCTTTGTATCCCATCCACTGGAAGTAAGACACTGTTTGATGGAATCTCACTATAGACTAGCATTATCTAGTAGAATTTTTTGTGATGATAGAAATGTTTCATATTTCCACTCTCAAAACAGTAGTCAATAGCTACACATGTCTATTGAGCACTTAAAATGTGGTATGATTGAGGAACTGAATTTTAAATTTCATTTAACTTTAAGAAATTTAATTTTTAATAACCACATGTGGCCAGGTGCCACTTTTTATTGGACAGTGAGCCTAGAGAATGGACAAAGAGAAGAGCATGGTGGATCATCCTGATGGATATAGTGGCTAAGAAGTAGGGTATAGCTGATACATTTTAGTAGGTGAAAAAATAGGGGGAATTAAATAATATGAGTTTCCATGTATATCACCAACATTTACAGATAAAGGTTTTCTATCTTTCAGGTTAGAATCATTGCTTTTATCTGCTTTTTTTTCCCTCCATCTTCACATGGCACAGAGATTACCTAAACATAATATAATACAGTATAGTGCTTTAGTGTAGACTCTCCATTCTGGCAGTCTGAGTTCAATCTCTCTTATGTTATGTGTCAGCAGAATGACCCTGGGCAGGATTATTGAGTTCTCTGTGTCTTCGTCATTCAGCTATTAACCACAGATTAATACTTGGGTTGTTTTTTAAGAATCAATCACAGTGGACAATTAGAAAAGTGACTGAAATATAGTGTAGAGTTAATGAATGTTCTAAACGAAGATAATTTTTAAATCTTAATAAAAAAGACAATCTGGATTGGCCTTACTGATAGGTGCATTCTTACACTCATTCAATGTTATGTTATTTTAGCTAGAAACATAATGCATGTAAGATCAGTGATTTTTTTGATTTGTTGATAGGGAAAAAAATCTTACCAAAGAAAGTTTACAGTATTTCTATTTATCCTATGATACATAGTTAGTATATATAATGAAGTTTTCTTCTATTTAGCAACTCAAATTATTTCATTAAATATCTTCATGTTTACAATTTCAGCTGTTATTTATATCAATTCTTTTTGGGTTTTCTTGGGGCTCTTATTGGATAGGATGAGAAATGATAACATGGTTTCAGGCTTGGCTAAAACCAAAAATGATATAAAGGAAAAAAGATAATCTTTAAAAATATTTCCATAAAATTGTTTCTTTTCTCATTGATTCTTTTAACTTTTTGGAAATTTCAAAATGTTTTGTCTCTCTACATTAAAAAAATAATTACAATTATATTGATCAAATATTTATTTAAAAATAGGATTCTCCATTTCTTGGAAGGTTTAGAAATCAGAAAATATAAACAAGACAATCTTCTCTTTCTTATCAATTACAGCAATTCCTGAGTTTGTGACACAAGTGAATGTCGCCTTGGAAGCCCTAAATAAGAATTCTTTGGATGTGTTTGATGACAATCAATTTGTGGACATCTCAAAGAAGATCTATGATACAATTCATGATATCATGATGATTCGGGTAAGTTTGCTTTACCTTTCATTGAATTATCGCAACATTCGTTACCAGCTGGAATGCCTGGGATGCTTACAAGAAATGTTTTATTTCGATGCCATAATGTCAATGCTGAAATCCATTAAAAATTGAGAAATTCATATGCATCCCCAAAGTCAGATCTACTGTCACAAGCAATACTTTTACTTGTGTATTTGGTTATAACTTATGCAAATGAGCACATTTAACGGCCCTGTGTGCGGAAATGATGGGATTCGTTGTATGCAGAATTTGTTGAACTGTCACATAGCATGATCAGGAGCCAAAGAAAAATACATATAGTCATTTGCTTTCTTGTCTTGAGCAGAAAGGAAAGAATCTTTCTGATCGCTCTAGTGACATTGGTAGGAAAATGTGTTCACAAGAAGTTATTTCTATGGCCAATCCCATTCATACTAGATCAGAGAATCACAATCTTCTGTAATAAATCTCACATGAAGCTGGGAGTTGTCTCTTTGTGGAAATATGTGCCGTCTTCCCAAGGGTATGTTTGCTTCCCAGGGATGAGCCATTGGTTTTGGGCACAGTGCATATACAGAGATCAGGACTATTTGTTTTTACTTAAATGTGAATGTGGATTATTTTCTAAATGTTATTTAAAAAACAGTGGAAGTTCTTTGGGAAATGTACAGATAATGATATAGAGATACTTAGGATAGGTTTATCTGGAAGCAGACACTGTGGTAAGGATTTGTGTTCACCATTAGTTTATTTAGGAACAAGTGAGACAGGGAAAGTGAGACTGGAAAGGGAGGAAAGCAATAAGGTGTATTTATGAGTCACTATGGGCAACTGGGGGTTGTTACTGCTGGGGAACTTGGATGGGGGGTACTACAGACCGTGCCTCAGAATTATCTCAAAAATTCAATTTATCCACCTACTTATTTATTGGTGAAAGGTTACCTCTCTTTAGAGGTGTCACCAGAGCCTCCCACCTCAGCCAATCAAGCCCTTTTGCCAAAATACACAACCTTCAAACAGAGTGGCAGGTGCTTCAGTTAGAGGATTCAGCAAGACCTGTGAGTGAAATGAAGTATGAGTAGAGTACAGTTTGAAAGCTCCTGGGTTTGACTGTTCTTGAGATTATAAGATGGAACTAGAAGTGCCCCAGAGATGTGAGAGGAGCATCACTCGTATCCTGTGGGCCTTAATGTTATAGTTATGTTGCACTGAGTAGTCCATAAAAATGGAATCATTCGGAGACCTTGTAAGAAAAGGGGTCAACAAAAGTCAAGGAGTTTGGCAGGCTGATGGAAGAAATCATAGAGAAAAACTAGAGATGTCATGATATAAGATTGCTCTAACTGGTTGCTCAATGGTTAGAGCATCCACCCATGGACTGGAGGGTTTTGGGTTTGATTCCAATCAAGGACACTTACCTGGGATGCAGGCTGCATCTGCAGCCCAGGTTAGGGAGTGTGTGGGAGGCAACCAATTGATGTCTCTCTCTCACATCCATGTGTCTCTCTGTCTCTCCCCATCCCTTCCAAAAGATCAATGGAAAAAATAGCCTCAGGTGAGGATTAACAAACAAACAATATATAAGATCTAGCTCTTCAGAGCTTGAGAAAACCTGGAAGCAAGCTAACTGTATATATAAGAGAGAAACCTCAGGATGTACTATATGTGTGAGCAGCCTGGAAGTATTTGTTCATATGTGACTGAGAGCCATGTCCCTGGACCAGTGCTATGTCTGAACTGCAAAGTATTTTTATCAAATACGTTCTTCTAACAAAGGATTTTACTTTACCTGTGTGCACTAGTGCACTAACAATAACCCAAAGTTGGAAGGATAGTTGGAACTAGGATAGGTAGAAACACAGAGTATGAAGACACATGAACTTTAGCAGAGTCTTAGCACAGTGAAAACCCTACATTTCCAGTGTCCTGGGTGGAGATTTGAGAAGATAAACCAGTGGGGTAGCGTAGGTGAACCAGTGTTGGGAATGCACATTTTTCTTGGGAAAGGGATTTTTAAAAAAGTCTTATAATGTCTCCCACTTGGATGTTGCATTATTTAAAAATATCCTTATTATCATAATGCCTCACTTATAGCACATCACATCATTTTGTCATCATTTTTATATACCCCTCATCTTGAGCATTCTGTAGGGCAGGAAAACAATTTATTGTAATTATTAATAGCCTTAGAGGGCAATACATTTTTCCATAGTCATCTCTTTTTTAAAGTAATTACTTCAATTTATTTTAGCTTTTTCTCATATAATAATTTAGTATGTGGTGTTCTTTGCTAGTTCTTACTTAACTTTTCAACAAACTTCTCAAATGAGACTAACAAAAAGTATATTCTAATTAGGGCCTGTCCAGGGTTAAATAAAGGAGAAAACTTGGCCTTTATGTTATTGCTATTAATAGAGTCACCTGTTGTTAGCCTATTTTTCCCCCTCTTAAAAACCATGATTGGTGGATAGACAATGACTTTAAAAATGTATATTTTTACCCTGTTTTGGCCTGTATATTTCTCCTCCATTTTGATTTCATGTGTTTGCTCTCGGTCCTAAATTTTGATCCAGTTAAATTTCATTGTATTTCTAAATGGTTTTTTATATAATTTATCATGTTGCTTTTACATTTGGTTGCTGAACATGCCTAAATTAGCATCGGGTAGAAAAATGAGATTATAATTTTAGTTCCATCATGTAGATTACTAATAAAACAAGTATCACATGATCTCACTTACATGTGGAATATAATGAACAAAATTAATTGATGAACAAATTAGTTCCAGAGACATGGAAGAATGGAACAGACTGAAGAATCTCAGAGGGAAGGGGGGTGGGGGGTGGGAAGAGATTAACCAAAGAATTTATATGCATATATGCATAATCCATGGACACAGACATTAGTGCAGTAGGCCTGGGGGGAAGGGGACAGGCAGGTGGGAAGTGGAGGGGATCAGTGTGGGGAGAAAAGGGGGATATCTGTCATACTTCCAACAAAAAAATAAATTATTTATATATATAATATATATATTACTATCATGGCCCTTCATCTGACTATGATCTCTGCTAATAGCTCCAGATAAGGGTTTTAACCCTTTGAGTGCCAAGCAATATCCTAGGAACTATGCTAAAATTGCCAAGGCATTTTTGGTGATTTTACAGCAGTTTAGGAAAAAAATTATGAATCGCAAGTAAATGAAGTTACATATTCAAAAACTTAAGGAAACCTTTACTACATTGACATATTTAGCAATATCATCATCACTAATAAAAGCAGACTTAGAACTGGACGCCATTTCGAAGCTTTGATAGCGCTCCCGGCACTTTTGGCGAAAGACAGGAGGAGTGTGATCGCGCTCCCTGGCACTCTAGGGATTAATATTAAGCACCCTTAGAATCTTATGTTCTGTCTAGCTGAGATCATATCAGTAAGCATATGGTTTGAAATAATTTTTTATTTATTTTGAGGTAGAGATATTTTTTCTTCAAACATACTTGAGGGTCAAAATTATAAAACAGATAGTACTTGAAGCCATGAAGATAGTCCAGAGGCCCATCTTCTCTGTCCCTGCATTGCCCCTCTTCGAGGCAGCCTCTTGGGATCCTCAACAGAACTTCTACAGGGATTCCTTGGAGGATGAGCCACACAGCTCGGTACTTGCTAATTGGATTAGAGGTCGAGAATAGAAGTCTAACTGAGGTGCACAATTAAAGAAAATCACTTTTTTCCCCCTTTGAGGACTGTCCTTTTGTCATAGATACAATTGATCTGGTATAACCATCTCTTTATAAGGTCAAATTTAATGCTGACCAATATCCTATTAATAACGCAAAGCATGTGAGGAGTATATCTAAAAAGTGTCAACACTAGGAGAATACATTTATAATTATGCAAGTTTGGAGAGGGATAAGCTATGATCTTGAGGATGTTTGTGAGTGTTGCAAAATCCTATCTTATCTCTGAATTTTCATGCGTGCTCTTCAGTGCCCTTGAGACAATAAAATACTAACCTAAGTTCAGAGCCTGATATTTTATAAGCTGTGTAATAAAATTATGATTATATCTGCCTTTAATATTTATTTTGTTGAATATTTTACAAATTTTTGGATTATTTTTAAAAGTTTTAAGATAAATACTGTGACATTTATTATTACTAATCTCTACACTATTTTAGCTTGTGGAAAATGAAGTTGTAGAGTAGGAAATATTAAATTTTTTTTCTATTTGGTGTTTCAAATCTATAAATAAATTTTATAGTTATTAGGAGCCCATCCATATATATAAAAGCCTAAGTGACCAAACAACTGAATGACCGGTTGCTATGACACGTACTGACCACCAGGGGACAGATACTCAATGCAGGAGCTGCCCCCTGGTGATCAGTGCACTCCCACAGCCAACCTCCCATGGTCCCTCCCCCGGCTGGCCACCCCCTCCCCCGCATCAGCCCTGATCACCTGCCAGGCCAAGGGACCCCACCCGTGCATGAATTCATGCACCGGGCCTCTAGTATAATATAATGGTTAAGATTAAATCAATAAACATATCTTACTGAACATGTTTCCTCCTTAATAAAATGAACTTGGTATTAAAACTACTTTAAAAGATTATTATACTTTTGAAATGAGCTAATAGAAATATATTAGTACTTAGTAAAAGTCTCTTATAAGAAGATAGCTGCTATGCTATCACCACTGTAAGTATACTATTATATTTACTGAAGCTGCCTATTATTTTTGCCTATTCTGTATTTGAATAATATTAACTATAGAAGCCATAGACCTATGTTCATAGAGCAACATGGAGTCAAAATTCAAAGAATAACTTGAGGGTGAGTTTCAGAACAAATAATTACATTTTTCTCAATATACTGTTTATATAAGAAGAGACCTACATTTATTAACATTGGGTATTTGAAATATAGATTATCTAATGCAAATTGTGCTTTTGAATCTATATTACTTTAATTTAATATTAAAATTCTATTCTGCATTTTTAAAAAA